AAAATTCTCCGAAATCTGGCATTTTTCCAAATAGGGACCGAACACTTCTGATTGGTGACTCCATCGTTAGAGGAATACAACCTAAAGGTTTAGATGATAAGGTCGTTCGATATGTATGCAGCGGTGCCATTCTGACAGACATCGAACGTAAAATCAACCAACTAGATTTGACACCATACAAACACGTCATTATTTTTGTCGGGGGAAATGACGTCAGTTCAGGAAAACGCCCTGATGCGTCACATTCAAAACTGTTAGAGCTCACTCGCTCTATTCAACATCACAAATGTAAAGTGCATCTCTGCACGATTTCGCCGCGACTAGACGCTGATGTTACGTTATACAACAAAAATGTGAGGGACATCTGTATTAAAACAGGTGCTGAACTTATAGACACATATTCATCGTTCGTTTATGGTGATGGTTATAGCATAGTGAAGCACTATTTAGCTAGAGATGGGATACATCACAATAAATATGGATCCAAAACACTTGTGGCAGCAATAAATCGGTGCGTATACATCGTAAAAAGGAAATTGAATCATGCTAATGGAGAAATGCGGCCGAGATACAATGGAAAAGAAAACTCAGGTGCAGGCAGTCCGAGATACAGACACTATAATTTAAACAGACATGAAAAGGTTCACAACTTTTTTAGACCTAGGTTCTATGATCAAACTTCATGGAGTGAGACTTCACTTAATAATACTGATCGCCACACCAGAACCGGAAGTGTATTTGCGAACGACAGAAGACCCGAAAGTGAAAATTGTTATTATGGACAGAATAGCGTCAGAATAAATAGGAATAAGGAAATATCCGACAGGCACTCAAATTTTGAAAATCAACAATTTGAAACATACATTTGTATTCATAATGAGGTAACTACTTATAAATCTATGTTAAAACAAGATCTTTATAGCGATTTTCAAACTAATATATCAATTCATAATGTATGTTACGATTTTATGTTGTATTCCACAATTGATATTTTACATATATGTTTAAATACGCGAAAAATTATCGATTTGATAGTAAAAGAACGAAAATTTATAGACACTATTGCATCTGGTAATCAAATTGTTACTTTTGAACAATCAGTGCCATACATTAAATACGGAAAATGATGAATATAATTGCAAAGTACTAAATAATGTTACGCTCCATAAATCAAATTTTCCAGATAATAAATTGTTCAATTCCAAGTTTGAAAAAACGAGGTTTTACATATTGCACACCTTAATGTTTATATCATTTAATGCCTAAAATAGACGAAAATAAAATACAATCTATTAAACAAATTAAATTCGCCAGATTATTTTCGGCTTTACTGAGACATTTCTTGGTGATGATACAACAGACGATGAATTAAATATTAACAATTTCACACACGAAAGAAAGGACCGTAAAAGTTTTCAAAAAAGGCCGGGGAAGTTGTAATATATATTGCTGACAAGGTGCCATATCGGCGCCGTTACGATATAGAAAACGGACGAATTAGAATCTGTTTGGTTGGAAATTATTTACCCAAATTGCAAACCTTTTCTTTTAATTTTTATATATCGCCCACCAAATGTACACCAATCTTGGATTGACGATTATGAGAAGCAACTAAGTATAATAGATATATCAAATAAAGAATATCATATTATTGGAGATGTCAATATAAACTTTTATCCAATGAATAAAAAGAAAAAAATATGACAATACAAAATGGGGTGATTTGATAACGAAATATGGTTTGACAAAGCTTATCACAGATCCTACTAGGATAACAAAACGTACCCAAAAAATTATCATTTTTATACAAACAGTAGCAGATATATTATTGAATCGTTTGTTTCTGATACCTCATTAATTGATCATTATTCGATAGGTATTTCAAGATCAACGAAAGCATGTAGTACCCGATTGATTAATGAACATAATTCGATTAGATATAGATGTTTTAAAAACTTCAATGAAATTGATTTTCAGGCAGACCTTGCGTTATCCGATCTTGAATTAGTCGAGCACATAATAAATCCGAATGAATCCCTTAGCTTATTTTACTCCATTTTAAATACTATCTTGAAAAAGCATGCACCAATAAAAGAAAAACGAATCAAACGTGAACACCGCCCGGAATGGTTTACTGATGAGATAAAATATCTTATACATGAACGCGATTACTATCATAAAGTAGGGAAACATGAACAATACAAATTGCTCAGAAATATAATAACATCAATGATTAAAAAAAGTAAAAGAGATTTCTTTAACAATGCTATTAAAAATAACAAAGACCCGGCATTTTTATGGAAAAATTTAAAGGACGTTTCAAATCTAAATAAAAAAGTTGTATTACAATGCCAGACAGACTAGTGACAGGTAATAAAGAAATTTACGGAACTGTAAATATTATAAATGTATTAAACAAGTATTTTGTCAATATCTCGAATGTCATACATAAAACAAAGTTTTCAAATACAAATTTTTCAAAATTGAAAGAAACTTTAGACCAAAAGCTAATATATCATGAACTTAATATTGAATTAATTAAAACGTTTGAAGTAAAACTTATTATTGAAAAACTGAATATTAAAAAATCTACAGGATTAGATGGAATTGGACCAAACATCATCAAATATTGTGGAGATTATATTACACCAATAATTGCATCAATTATCAATTATAGTATTAAATCTAATATTTTCCCAGATGATTTAAAAAGAGCTTGAGTTATACCTATTTTTTAATCGGGGGATAAGAATGAAGCAAATAACTATCGACCGATATCAATTTTGTCAACTATATCCAAAAATATTTGAGCGCCATATTGCCAAACAAATACACTCATTCTTTGAAAAAAACGAAACATAATTCATAATAAACAATCAGGATTTCGTAAAAATCATTCATGTAATACTGCACTCATTAGTTTAATAGATACTTGGTTAAAAAGATGTTGACAGTGGAAAAATTATCAGGACTGTATTCTTAGACTTAAAGAAAGCCTTTGATTTGGTTGACCATGAAATACTTTTGCATAAACTTAAACTTTATCATTTTTCTGAAAATGCCGTTAAGTTTTTTATGTCATATCTTTCTAACAGAATACAACTGGTTAAGATAGGTAATCTACAATCTCAGACAATGAAAATAATTTCCGGTGTTCCGCAAGGCTCAATATTAGGACCTTTATTATTTCTAATATACATAAATGACATAGCTTTCATTGGTAATGATATGAAAATTGATTTATACGCAGACGATTCTACTCTTTATGAGTCCGGAGAAAATATATCAAAAGTAGAAATAAAACTTCAAGATCATTTAAATAACATTGACAAATGGTGCAAAATAAATAATATGGCCTTAAATCCAGATAAATGAAAATGTATGGTAATAGGAACAAGACAAAAAGTAAATATTATGAGAAAATTAATTCTTAAGATAAATGAAATAGCTCTTGAAAATGTAACTGATCAAAAAGTCTTGTGTATTTGCATAGATAACAACTTAAAATGGCACTTTGCAAATTGACAATGTTTGTAAAAAACTTAACGGAAAAAATTGCCTTATTGAAAAAAATATCGTATTTTTTGCACTTTGATATGAAATTATTGTTTTACAATGCATATATATTTGCCCATTATGGACTATTGTTGTATTATTTGGGTTAAAGGAAACACAAACTACATAAATAATGTTTGTAAGTTACAAAAAACGAATTGCTAAAATCATTTTACAGCAACCTCAAAAGATCTCCGTCAACAAATCTATTCGAAACTCTTAATTGGTTACCGTTCCTTGACAGATGTAAATACCACACGGCGGTGCTTGTTTTTAAAACTTTAAATAACATGGCACCGACTTATATGACAGAACTGATGACTTTATCCGACAACAAAATATATAACTTAAGATCTAGGTCACGAAAAGATATTGTATTATGGACAAGACCTAAAACAAATTATATTAAAGACACATTTTCTTATTATGGCATGAACATTTGGAACAATATACCTTTAAATATTCGTAATGTTAATAACCTTAAATGTTTTAAAGAAAAATACAATGCATATCTTGATGTTCATATGAATGAATGAGTGAGTGAATGAATGAATGAACGAACGAACGAATGATGCAATATACATATATATTTAAACAAAAATTGTTGAGTGTCTGTCGAAAGAATATGAGTTGTATTATTCTAAAAATTACATATTATACATTCATTTTTCTACCTATGCATGTCCTGTTGTTGTTGTTGTTGTTGTTGTTTTCTATTTCAGAAGGCCACTTTGGAAATAAGATATATATGATTGTTATTGTATGTTCTTAATGTGTAACCTTCTTTGAATAAAGATATTATTATTATTATTATTATAAGTATATATTTGCACATTGGCGGCGTGAAATGATGTTTCAAAGTAGAAATCGGAATTGTGTAATAGTGTTTCTTACTAACACCGTCCATAAGATTAAAATCTGAACTTGTTTTCTAATTTTGTTTTTCTTTAATGCATCCCAAACTATATCAGCTCAACAAAGGCAGACACTTGTTGATGCATATTGTGAGTATACTGCCATTTTATCCCTGAAGTCCACGACAGGGATCACAAATAATCATTAATTTATTTTTGATGTTCTATCCATTTTGGTGATGGGAACACAGACGCTGAATAATTTAATTTGATTATACTCCCATAACAGCATCTAACGCTGAAAATAGTTATACAGTAAATGAATGCTTGGGGTTTTATTAGAATTGATATAAATCGTTGTCACTTTTTTTGGATATATTTCTGAGGTTTTTATATATATTTATACGCATACCATACTTAAATAGAAATGTTAATTAATTTGCGAAGGGAGACTTTTACACATGATACTGTTGTAACCTGTAATAAATCTCTAAACGGTTACAATATATTGTCTTTAAATAAAACTTCCTCCTTTTTTGATAATGGCAAATGATCTATTTTTGTTTCACTAAATGAACTGACGATAATAGCCAAGATTTTCCGATTGTGCGGATTTTCGGAAAATTGTAAACAAATGTTCCCCGGATATATTGATCATTTCATTTTTGAGTAACGTTTATTAAAGTAAGTCTACAATAACAGTACAGTTATGAAAACTGGGAATAAACATAAATCGTTTAAGATAAATTTTGACATGGACAATCTTTCTTTTAGGAAGAGGTAGGAAATTGTTTAAACGTACAAGAAATTCGGATAGAGAAATCGGATATGTTTGACCTAAAAACATTGACTTCAAAGGGTGGAAAAGATACAAACATAGACTTGCAATTAAGTAAGTTAATTAACTTTTTAGGAAAGAGTTACATTTCATTTATCAAATTTATTAAAATAGTATAATCATTCATATGTGGTGTTGTTTACTGATCAATGTTCGTGTTCTATTTTTAGGACACATTTCTAAAAATAGGTCAGCAGTGGATTTACCAAAACAGTTAATTTTAGATTATAACCGCGGTGATTTCCATTGGATTCTTTACCAGTTATTTATAATGTAGTATCGAGAAACTATCTTTGTTCATAAATGTTTTTATTTCATATCATTATAGGCATTACAATAATGCATTGTCGTTTTTGGGATAAAAAAGATAACGAGGACATTGAAGAAGTTAACAGAGTCATATTCAAGAGGTTGTAAACATTTAAATCAACAATGTCACATATAGTTCAAAGTGCTAAAACTACACTCGTCAGTATGGAGAAGCGACAACATTTCAACAGAGCTATGGAACTAAATATGAGTATAGGTTCCGATACAATGAGAGATTTGATTAAATCATATCTCGACAAAAAAGGCGTGACTTTGAAACAGCATTTAAACGAGGAATTTGTCAAGATAAAAGTAGAACAGTTTAAGCACCTATGTACTGAAAACTTTAACACGCTGCGTTCAAGTGATCCCAGTCTAGATCTTATGGACGTGTCAGTATTGACAGTTCTTATTTTAAACACTTTTCCTACACAGTTAACAAAGGAAGCTAAAAGGTTAGTTACAGCTTTGCGGGAAAATCGAAACAAACTGGCTCATTCAGTAAAAGCTGAGTTAGATGACGCTGCTCTTTTCAATGACTCATTTCAGAACATTGTAGGTCTTGCAAAAGAGGTGACAAATATAAAGGAGTATGCATTTGCGTTAATCAAATGCATAAACGAACTGAAAAACAGAGAACTTGTCAACTGTTGCAGTAATATAGAACGCGTTAAGATTAACAATGAATATTTCCTTATTAAGCTTGTTGAATCACAAGGATCAGAAAGGGGTAAGTTTTTATTGAAAATAAGCAACTTTAGCAATGAATCTATCAGTTTTTGTGAACGGATTTCTATGGTGGCTGATTTGTGCCATTCGTGTTTTCGTCCTGCGACCCCCACTTAGCCAAAAGTCGAGAATTTACAAATTAAAATGGCGGGGTGCGGAGCGAAACATGCTAATTAGCTGGGGCGCGGTACGAAGTTTAATAAATAAAATTCACCCGTGGACGCACGGAGCGAGATTAAAGAAGTAAAACAGAGGGATCGCAGAGCAAAAACACGCCAATTAGCGGGGTCGCGGCGCGAATTTAAATAAAAAACTTCGCCCCGCGCCCCACTAATAAGTGTGTTTTCGTCCCGCGACCCTGCCAAGAGAATAGTCGAGAATTTACAACTAAAAATGGCGGGGGCTGAGCGAAAACACGCGGGGCGTAATTAGCGTGTTTTTGCTCTGCGCCCCGCAGTTTTATTCCTTAAATCTTTCTGCGCGCCCCGAAGGGGCAAAATTTAATTTATTAACTTTTATCTTGTTAATTTTCGACTTTTGGCTCAGCGGGGTCGCGGGGCGAAAACACGAATTGTATAAATCAGCCACTATAGATTTGTATAGTCACGATTTTCAAATCTGCCTTGTTTATAATTGGAAATAAATCCGTCATAGGTGCAAAAGATGAATTATATAATTATATAACATGATTCGCGTAAACTCAGGATTTGTTCGCTACTTAAGGTTTACCATATGTTGGAAAAATATGTTTAAGTTGATAAATATCTCTCACTTAAGGTAAGGCATGTAAATTAAATCGCATTTTACAAAAAAAACCAAAAATAACAACGATTAATAAAAATTATTCTTAATGATTAAACGGAAAACGATTTATTCGGGTGTAAGTGTTCAAAAATCATATACATTTTTTTCAGTTGATGCAGACGGAACAATTCAGATGAAAATCGGCTTGACGAAATGGGTGAGGCAACTATCAAGGGGTTTAGATGTTGGTATTTTCATCCGTATGTTGAAGAACGAAGAAGTTATAAACGATACGATGAAACGCAAAATTGAGCAAGAATACACATACGAAGAACAAATGCGTGTACTAATCTTACACATGATTAATGAAACGAAATTTAACCTGTGCAAAATGTGTCGATGTTTGAGAAATTTATCACCACAACTCGCCGATCTGATAGAAGACACTAACACAGATGGAAATGAAGTTGGTAGGGCTTACACATTTCTAAAAGAAGTATAACTTTTATATCGTTGATTTTGTAATAATTTCATCTTTAACATATATGAAACCATTAAAGTTGTGTTCATTTTATTCCACAGAAAAGTACCTGCAGCATATGAAGAAGAAAAATGTGATTCGGATCTTAAAAGAGACATTTAA